AGGAAGAATGTGTAAAATTTTCAGAGAAGATGCAGACTATTAAACTTTACCAGGCAAATCTGTATAGAATAGTAATGTTTTAAATGATGTTTTCTCCTGGCCCAGACTTAGCATTAAACATTGACTGGGTAAAATAGTAAACATTATACAAATCTCCAATGCTTAGATACAACATTAAGCAGAGTAGATTAATTGAGTTATCTAATAGCATCTTATACAGTTAGAATACATAGAACTAAGCATAAAATCCTTACATAAGCTCTTCAGGCAATGGTGGTGGTGGGACTTTGGTGAACTCTATAGTAGCATGTAGGAAAGCAGCTAATGTGACAATGCCACCCACAATATGATCACCTGACTGATAGTACATATGATATGGATCATGAGGACTTTGAACTCTACATTGGATTTTATATGACTTAGAGAGTGGGAGATAAAGTAATGCTGGTGAGAATATTATTAAGGCTAACATTCTTGGACAAAAGCCTTAGGTTTCCTAGTCATCTAGTTTCTTTTTGCTTCTATGATGACAGTGATATTAGTATTCTGGTAACAAAAGGTGGTGTTAATGCAAACCTTCAGAAAGAGTAAAAAACTTCCACAAACTGTTGTATAATTGAAGTGCTTTTAGTCTACCTAACTTGAAGAAGTTGAGACATTTATAATATTCTTCATGTTTGTTCTTAAACACTGACATTCTGTATCTGGTTGAACATAAATAAATTAGCTACCATCCTTTCATAATTAAATAGGTGTGCAATTACTTTATGGAAATCCCAAGAGAATTGAAGGAAACATGTTTTGACTGATAGAAAAAAAAGATTTCTATCTCATTTGGAAAGAAGATGCTTAAAATGGACAAGATATTTTCTTAAGTGGAAAAAAAAACCACCCAAGACAATCCTCCCTCAAGTTTGTGCTCTCCAAAGAGGTCAGCTGCAGCTTTTTGCTTACAAGATATAAACCAATTCGGTAAAGTGGCAGGCTTAAAATAAATAAAGAGAAAACTAAAATATTAACTCAGAATTTAACTAAAAGACAAAATGAAGAACTGGAGAAGAAACTGGGAATTTCGAGGCCCAAGAAAATTAAATATTTGGGAATATGGCTATCAACAGAATGTATTAAAATAAAAGAAGATAACTACAACAAATTGCTACAACAGATACAAAAAGATTTCGATAATTGGACTAAACTACATATATCACTAATTGGCAGAATCTCAACAACTAAAATGAATGTACTAGCCAAACTACTTTCTTTTTTTCAAACAATACCGATTAAATTAGAGAAATTTATTTTCGAACAACTAAACAAAATGGTATCCAAATTTATCTGATCAGGGGAAAAAAGGGGGAATTAAATACAAACTTCTACAAGATAGTTGAAAGAAAGAGGGCTTCCGCCTCCCAGATTGGGAGTTTTATTATCAGGCGGCACCCTAACATGGCTAAAGGACTAGATTCAACTAAAAAATAAAAGAATGCTTATGCTAGAAGGCCACAATCTCCAACTAGGTTGGCATGACTTCCTCTGGGAAGGAAAAAATAAATCTTATTCCTACTTCCAGAGACGTATAATAAGGGATGCCTTGTTTACGGTCTGGGAAAAGTAAAAAAAAAAAACACTGCCTGAAAATCCCAATCTGGTTATCAATGATGGAGGCAATGACATCTCCAAATACTATAGATCTCAGTAAAATGGTAAGACATGCAGAGCTTTTAGATGAAAAAGGAGAACTAAAATCTGTACAAGATCTGAAAACATAAGGAATAAATATCTATTGGAGGGGATATTGAAGTCTTTCCAGGGGGCTCATCTGGAAGAAAAAAAGGCCTGGTGTTTTATAATTCATGATGGGGCTAGAGCCATAGATGAGCTGCANTGATCCATTGTCTCCATCCTCTTTTCCATGTTTTCAGACTTCTTCACTAGTTTATCTAGTTTTTCATCTGTGCTTGTTTGTAATTTTTGTAGCTTTCATCGGTGCTTATTTGTAATTCATTGGTGCTTGTTTGTAAATTTTGTATTGCTTGCATAATTGTCTCTAGTGTTGTAGTCTTATCTTTTTCTTGTTGAATCATTGTTTGTATTGATTTTTGCCCGCCTGCCGGAGAAGAGGCCGGGGTAGTAGTAGTAGAGCCCACTGGTGCTACCTTCCAGCACATCTTCCTGGTTTATTCTCTCTTTTTCTTTTTGAGGCTTAATCTAATTGTAGTTATCTATAAAAAAGGAAGGGGAAAAGAAAAAAAAGAAAGGAAAAAGAAGGAAGGGAAGCAAAAATTAGGTAGAGAAGCAAACAGATGCAGGCAGGATTAAAATTAGGGGGGGAAAGGGGGGAATATGGAAAATATAATAGAGAATGTAGGAGGGATGGGCAAAGAGGAAAAAAAATAGTGAAAATCTTGGCCACTTTTTCCAGTCAATTCCAGGTTTTAGGGGCCAGTTTTTTTTTAAGAGGAAAGAGGTAGAGAAGAGATAGTCAGAGGTGTTGAGAGCTTATAAGAGATAAGGGTGAGTGAAAGAGGAAGAGAAAATCTCTCTCTCTCTATCTATCTATCTATCTATCTATCTATCTATCTATCTATATATACACACACACACACACATACATATACATACAGACACACACATCTCGAATATTTCAAAAAGGTAGGGGGGGGGAGTAAGCCAAAAGAGAGGGCAATCATACAAAAAAAATCAAGACTTCAAAACTTTAGGGCTTCTATCAAAGAAGAAAAAGAAAAAATGCAAACAGGCAATCAAAAAGAAAGAAAAAAATCATCACATTCCAGGCAGAATGGTGAAAGTATAGTCAGGCAAAAATCTGACGGAGAGAGTTCATAGTATTTTCTTTTCACTTTTGATTAGAAGAACTTTCACAGCTATTTTCTCTTAGAGATTTTCATGCATTTTCCAAAATAAGTTTCCAGACACTAAGAATCCACAAGAGACACCTGCGTAAACAACTGTGACTCTCGCCTCTTATCATGTCTTGACCTTGAGAAGAAAAACCATTCTCACTAAATAAGTCCCGTAATAAAGTTTGGTAACATTGTTTCAAAGTCCACAAGATGGCAGTGTTGGATTGTATCAGTACTTAGCCTCTTAGCTCTGCCTTCGAGAAAAGAGGAGAAAAAATAAAAATAAAAATAAAAATAA